TCTCAGCGCTCTCTCTCTCTCTCCTCTCTCTCTCATCTCTCTCTCTCTTCTCATCACCGCCTGTTCTTTCCCCTCCCCCATCTCTTTCGCTCGCGTCATGTCTTATCTCCCCTTTCAGCTTTCTTTCTGTGCATGCACGCACATCTACGTCGTCTCCTCTCTTTGCTCTCACGTTGTGCTACACGTAATCCGTCTGTATTGTGTTCACTTATCAGAAGTTGAATGTCGCTATAAAATTCGGCCGTCAAACCGGATTCAAGCGCGTTGCGTCTTCGCCTAGCTTAATTATGGGGTGAGCGCTAAGCAATGGCGCGAGGAAGTTAGCCGCGTGAGAATCGTGCTATCAGCTTATAACCACAAACAAATGCAGGTAGCACGTCTCTGCCTGCGAGGTAAGACCCGCTGACTCGCCGCGAAGGAATCTCGTTCTCGCTGCTCCGACCGCGAGAAGAAAGCGCGGAGGAGTAACATTCGTTGGCGTTTGTTCGCACGCGTCTACGATGAAGCGAGGGGGTGGGTCACGGACGCGCTCGCTACGGGAATGCGCAATGATCGTATATAGTCGCCTGATCTATGTATTTATTACGTATTTTGCTGGTAGATCTGCATTGCGGGCAGGTGTGCGTGAGTGTTAATGATTAACGAGGTATATTTATATATATCAAGAGCTAATAAATACTGTGCATAGGTGGTTTCTAAAAGGTGTTTCTAAAAAGGTGTTTATTAACTCTTGATATATATATATATGTTCCTAGCACGTGGTGAGTGTGTATGTATATATGGTGATTATGCTTTCTTGTGTACATTTAGTGAGGTGTTATACGACGCGCCGTGATGATGTTTTGTAGTGTTTTATGTTGTTTTGCTTTGCGCTGTGTTGCGTTGCTGCTTTGCGTTGTGTTGGGTAGCGAGTTCATATTATCAGAAGTAGATGATAGGTAGTTCTCTTACTGATATTATGTACCGTTGCGTGATGTCGTGTTTTGGACCGCGGCAACCATTCCACCTGTGACCATCATGCATGCACCTGTGCATGTGGTTACTAGGTCGTGCGTTGATGTGTCGTTTGAGATGGTGTGATCGGATATGCACGAATCCCCGAGATGAAAAGAATGCAGGCGCTTGTCTCTGTAAGGCAGGGGAGGCGAGGATGTGAAAGCAGGATGTGGGTGTGTTAGTACGTATTTCCGGTGAGCCATGTTTGGTCGTACTTCCTGTTCAACGCGGAGACGTTAACACGTGCGTGCGTGTGTTTGTGTGTGTACGCATGCGTGTAGTTATACGTGTGGGCGCGCGCTTATATGTATGTGTGAACGCACCTGCGCGCGTGCGCGTTTGTGCGTGCGTACCCGTGTACAAATAGTGAGTGTATGTGCATGCGTGTGTGTTCGTGTGCATGTGCCGTGTATGTGCGCGCGCGCGTGTGTGTGTGCGCGCGTGCGTGCGCGCGCGATGCGCACGTGCGGTATGTACCTACGTGGCGTGGGTGTCCGCGCGCGGCCAAGGTGCGTGTGGACTGTCTCTCAAATATTGATTCTCCTGTGCATGTTGTTCCTGTAACCGGCCGGTGCCCGCGTCGTGTACGCATCGCTGCGATACGCGGCAGGAAACGCAGCGTGCGTACGTGTGTCTGCAGATACTGTCTGCATGCAGTCTGTCCGCCATCAGTCAGTCAAGTCAGTCATTCAGTCGGTGAGTCAGTGCATCGGCAAGTATTAGCTACAGCTGAACAACGCGCGTGTCACTTTCACTTTTTGTTTTCTCGGCGGCACGTGAGCTCAGCTCCCCGACCGGTCATTGAGCCGAGAGGAAGAAAGAGAGAGAGAGAGAGAGAGAGAGAGAGAGAGAGGCTCAGGGAGACGAGAGAGAGAGAGGGCGTGTGAGAGTGAACGATAGATAGGGGCGGGCGGTTTCGTTGGACAGGGCTGTATATATATGCAGCCGTGGTGGTAATGCCCGTGCGATCGGCACCTCCAGCTATTGCGGTCCACGGCACGGTGTACATCTCGCTAGACTGCACATTAGTAACTGGGCGAGGTAATCTTAGCGAGTCGTTGACTTCTAGCCTCGTGGTGAATGCGGACGCCCGGTGGTGTTGTATATATCCTGTGTTTTGCGGCAGTGAAACTGATTGTGGCGTTCTCTACTGGTCGCAAGGGAATTGATTCGGATGCCACTAATCAGCCTGATCAGTGCGTCTCAGATGTAGCACAGACACACGTGCTGCCAATACATACGTACTGACTGGCTGCGTGTAGAGAACAACGTGTGTGTATGTGTGAGGACAGAGCTAGTTATCTCGTCGTTGTTGCCTGTCAACGCACCATGGTACGTATGTTGTATGGGGACAGAGTTATCTCGTCGCTGTTACCTGTCAACGCACCATGGTACGTATGTATGGGGACAGAGTTATCTCGTCGCTGTTACATGTGAACACACCTTTGGTACGTGTGTGTATGTATGGGGACAGAGTTATCTCGTCGCTGTTACCTGTGAACACACCTTGGTACGTATGTTGTATGGGGACAGAGTTATCTCGTCGCTGTTACCTGTGAACACACCTTGGTACGTATGTTGTATGGGGACAGAGTTATCTCATCGTTGTTACCTGTGAACACACCATGGTACGTATGTTGTATGGGGACAGAGTTATCTCGTCGTTGTTACATGTGAACACACCTTTGGTACGTGTGTGTATGTATGGGGACAGAGTTATCTCGTCGTTGTTACCTGTGAACACACCTTGGTACGTGTGTGTATGTGTGGGGACAGAGTTATCTCGTCGTTGTAACGCATAGTTACTTGTGAACACATCTTAGTTAAGGCTCCACACATCGACTCTCGACACGTTGGTGAGACGCTGCTTGATGCTTCACTGCAGTGGTGACCGCTGTCGACACGTTGGTGAGACGCTGCTTGATGCTTCACTGCAGTGGTGACCGCTGTCGATACGAGAGCATCAGAGGAGAGACCGGATACTAGAGAGGCGATTCGCAAAGGAACCGCCGAGCGCGGATGTTGCGCGCAGTTCCGCGGCAAGGCGCACGCGACCGCGGGAACGTGCTACGATAGTATCGGGCGCTGGCAGCTATGAGCTACGTTGGTGAGACGCTATACCTGATGATGGTTTACTGCAGTGGTGACCGGTCTCGACACGTTGGTGAGACGCTATACTTGATGATGGTTTACTGCAGTGCTTCTTAAACTATTTCAGTGTCATTCACCCTCGAGTTTTCATCACAAAATTTCATTCATCCGTGACTAAATTTCCCTTGTATTTTTGGTAATTTTCTTCTTACTCGTGTATAATCTATATTATAAAGAATATATATTAATAAGAGAGGAGAGGCCGATTTTGTGACGCGGTAATCTTCGCCGGGCCTTAATACGGGCGATAATTTTAGCAGTTGGGTGATAGAAAAGTATAACAGCCGAATTCCCGCGAATGTAGCCATCTAGCGGACAAAGCGGGAAAAGTTATAAAAAGGTAAACCGAGCCACCCGCTACCCTAGAGTGTCGGCTGAGAATTAGCTTTGCGTGTATACCATGCTGGTGGGAGGGTGATTACTGTCTTCTATCCAACCCGGAATCTCTACCCGTAGTTTGAGTCCGTGTGGCTGGATAGTGTTTAGATTGTGAATCCAGTACGCTTCTCTTTTCTTTCTGATGGGGATCGTATGGGTGAAGGGGGGGGGGGTGAAAATATAAGTAAGTATATGTGGCTGAATTTGCTCTTAAAAGTTGGTTCTAAGCGTTTTTCCCCGAGCAACGCCGGGTAACAAGCTAGTTTTATATATAATCAATTTTGTCACATAAATAACGCAAAAACATAAATTAACTAATTTCTTAAGTGTTTATTTTATTCAGCTTTTTGAACATCCTAAAAATATGTAAAGAAAACGACTGAAATTTTTTTTCTAGTGTATATAAAGTAAAGCTAGTAAACAACAAGTAGAGTAAATATATATAGAATATAGAATTCTAGTTCTAGCAGAAAAGTAGCTAAATTGGCAACACGAAGTAAAGTTACAGTTCACTAGTTGCCTACGGCGATCCTCCAGTGTTTCCATTTATAAATTTATGATCCCACTAGCTCGTCTGTTCTCCCCCAAAAGGTTATATAACAATAAATTTGCGAAATATCCTGCTACTTAAAAATGAAAAAACCATAAAGGTAGAGAGAAATATCAAATTTCCACTGCCAATAAAAGCAATAAGAGCTTACTGACCACTTTCAATTAATGGCAATGCTTTTTTAAGTAGAGAAAAAAAATCGAAGTAAATTAAGTCATTCATCCTTCCTGTTTCGTTCACCCCAAAATAATTTCATTCACCTTTGGGTGAACCATTCACCAGATTAAGAAGCACTGGTTCAATGCGGTGATAAGACCCGGGATGCTGTGCTGCTGTAGAATGATACGGCATGTGCTTGCCCTGCACAGCTGTTCGCCATCTCACGCTTCCCTTTGAAGGCACCTTGTAAGTTCTGCCAGTATTAACCGAGCGAGATCGCTCGGGCAAATGGGCAGAGTATAGTAGTGGTGGTAGTTGGGTAGAGTGTCAGTCGAATTGCGCCCACATGCTGTGTATTGTTGCTGCGCTGTGAGAAAGTACGTGGACAACGAGCGTGGCATTGTGCACGCGTATCGTAGTGTACTCACTACACGTGGGAACATTTTTCCCCCAGCCTTGATTGTTTGCATAATAAAAAGAACCTGCTGCGTAAACAATGGCAAGACGCTTGTGTAAAAGTAAAACGATATCCGGATAGATCCGGTTGAGTTTAGCAGGCAGAGCCGGCAATTTGTGTGCAAGTGCGATGTCTGCACTATATGGAGTTTCTTGGTGTGGTGGTTGCGTGCACGTGTTGTCACTGAACAATAAAACTCGGCAGGTGAACTTTGATCTGGAAACAGCCGTATATATATACCTGGCTGTGAACTCGCGCACGATCTCGTTTTACTTGCGTTGCTGACATTGTTTTTTCCTCACCACACAGGTGAGTTCAGTGGACGACGGTCAGGAGATGGAGTTCGGGGGAGCGTCGTGCTTTGCGCAGTACCGCCGCTGGTTGTTCGGGGTCATCGTGCTCACCTCCGTCATCTACGTCTGCCTGCTCACCAAACCGACGCTCTATGAGGAGAACCATACATACAGGTACGTTTACGCCCTCTGTGGCGTTATCGTGTGTGCGCGCATGTGTGTGATGCGTGTGTGCGCGTGCATGCATGTGTTGCATGCATACGTGCGCGTCTGCGTGTGGTGTGTGCGTGCGTATGGTACGTGCATGCGTGCGTGTGTGCGTGTCTGCATGCGCGTGCGTGTCTGTGTGTGAGTGTATGCATGCGTACGTGTGTGTGTGTACGTAGCACGTGTTTGTTACCAGACTGTGTGTGTTGCGATTTGTTTGTCAAACCCACACCAACAAAATCCAGAGATATATATATATATATTCAGGAGCGTATAATGACAAATTATACGCATACAGGAGCGTATATTTGTCATTATACGCTCCTGATATATTATATATATCTTTCTCTCTCTCTCTCGCTCTTTCTCGCTCTCTCTTTCTCTCTCGCTCTCTCTCTCTCTCTCCTCTCTCTCTGCTCTCTCTCTCTCTCTCTCTCTCTCTCTCTCTCTCTCTCTCCGCCTCTCGCTCGCTCCGCTCTCTCATTTCTCTCGTCTACTCCTCTCTCTCTCTCTCTCTCTCTCTCTCTCTACTCGCCTCTCGCTCTCTCTCTCTCTCGCTGCTCTCTCTCTCTCTCTCTCTCTTTCTCTCTCTCTCTCTCTCTCTCTCTCTCTCTATAGTATATATATATATATATATAGCTTATATATATAACTGACCAAGCACCCGCACCCGCACGTTAATGCATACATACGTACACACACGCATACAACACGTACGCACGCACGCACACACACACTCATACGCGTGCACACACCCTCCTCCTTCCTCACGCCTTCCATCCCTTTCCTCCTCCCTCTTACTATCTCTCTCTTGCCTGCACATTTCACTCACTGCCTCCATCCCTTATCTCCCTCGCTCTTATACTCTCTCTTCTTTCTCGCCATTACATTCACTCACTGCCTCCATCCCTTTCTCCCTCCCTCTCTACTCTTTCTCTCTCCGCTGCAATTTCACTCACTGCCTCATCCTTTTCTCCTCGCTCTTACTCTTACTTCTCTCACTCTCTCGCTGATTTCACTCAGCTGCCTCCCATTCCCTTTCTCCTCCCTCTTACTATCTCTCTCTGCGCCTACATTCACTCACTGCCTCCATCCTCTCTCCTTCCGCTCTTACTATCTCTTCTCTCCGCTGCATTTCACTCACTGCTCCATCCCTTTTTCCCTCCCTCTTTCTCTCTCTCTTTTCTTATCGCCTACATTTCACTCACTGCCTCCATTCCCCTTTCTCCTCCCTCTTACTCTATTTCTTCTACTCGCTACATTTCACTCACTGCCTCTCCATCCCTTTCTCCCTGGCCTCTTCTTGGCTACATTTTCACTCACTGCCCCATCCCTTCATCACTCCCTCTTACTATCTCTCGCTCTCGCTGCATTTCACTCACTGCGCTCCATCCCTCTCGCTCTCTTCGCTACCTGCCTCTTCCTCCGATCCACTCCTTATCTCGCCTTAAGGGTGACGACACCTAGGCGCATTTTTCATGCATTCGGAGCCGGACGGCACCACCGAAGCGGCCGGCGCGATCGCATGAAAAATTCGCGTAGCTGTGTCCAGTGAGTCGGCGCGTACGATTTTCGAGTCGCCGGCCGAGTCGCCCAATTCAAACATGTTTTTGATAATTATTTTGCAGCCGGCCGGCTGCAATACGCCTAGTCGTGCCCGGGTTCTTGCCGATTGAGCCGAGTCCATTGTACAATTCATTCAGCAATCAGCCGGCACTGAAAATCCACAGAGTCGCCCGACTCGAGTCGCTACGTGCCTGTCCACAGAGTCGCCCGACTGAAGCCGGCCGGCTCGATCGCTATTGAAAAATCGCGCCCGTAGTGTGTCCACAGCTTTACCCCTCGATCACTCGTGTACACACATAATCACTTAACCACCATGTCAACCTGTTGCACCCTCATGTGACAGGAGCTGTTAGCTAGATAACGTCAGGAGTGAATAATAATAGATCTATTATAATATAATTAATATAATCTAATATAATATAATATAATACAATCTTTCATAATATAAATAACCTATTATTATTCACTCCTGATAACGTCTTTCTCGCATCGCAGGTTCTTCAAGAAGCCAGTGCCGGCGCGTGCCAGCCTCTCGCTCATCTTCCCGGCGGCGGGGCCGTCGCCGCGGCCGACCGACCCGACGTCGCAGCTCATCGACCTGCGCGACTTCCACTACACGATCAACAATGACATCTGCGACGTCGACGACGTCTTCATCGTCTCGTTCGTGCACTCGGCGCCGGCGAACGCGCACAACCGCGAGGCGATCCGGCGTGCGTGGGGCGGCCGCGACGTGCTGGCGTCGCGCGGCCTCAAGACGCGCCTCGTCTTCCTGCTGGCGGCGGTCGCCGACGCGCGCATGCAGAGCGCCCTGGAGGCCGAGAACCGGCACCACCACGACATCGTGCAGGGCAGCTTTGTCGACGCGTACCGCAACCTCACCTACAAGCAGGCGATGGGCATGAAGTGGGTGGCGACGTACTGCGCGCAGGCCGAGTTTGTGCTCAAGTCGGACGACGACACGTGGATTGACATGTACCAGGTGGCGCAGCTGCTGCTGCCGCGGCGTGGACAGAAGCGCCTGTGCCTGTGCAATGAGTGGATCGGCATGCCCGTGCTGCGGGACCGCGCCTCCAAGTGGTACGTCTCGGAGGCAGAGTACGAGGGCAGAGTCTTCAAGCCGTACTGCTCCGGCTGGGCGATGCTGCTCACGACGGACGTCGCGCGTGGGCTCGACCACATAGCGCCCTCTATGCCCTACTTCTGGATCGACGACGTGCACGTGTCGGGGCCGCTGCTCGACAAGATCGGCGTGAAGCGCATCCAGCTGAACCAGTACTTTGTGTTCGGACACGAGCCGCTGCTCAAGTGGGCGGAGGACGCCGCTGACGAGACGCCGGTCAAGTTCATATTCGGCACGACGTGGGGCAAGGACGACATCATGAGCAAGCTGTGGGAGAAGACGGTGCGAGTGCACGAGAAGCTGAGGCTGGCGGGCAAGACCACGTAGCGCCACCTGGTGATCAGGCACGAGAAGCTGAGGCTGGCGGGCAAGACCACGTAAGACAACGCTAACTCCAACACCTCCAACGATAACCATAACACTAAATATATATATGTCGGAGCGCTATATATAGGTGGTGTGATCCACAAAAATTAATCTATGGTGTGGGGACATATATCATCAGACCTGCAAACCCTTACGATTTTTTCGTATTCCTTACGAATTCCATGATGTTTCTACGAATGTACGATCAAACTGAAAAGTAATGTTTTTTGCATTGTGAGCCGAGAAATATCTGGCGATTGTGGGCGCAGCCATATTGGATCACACGTTCACGTTGTTCTCGCGTGATCCAGAGTTAGTCCCATCAGCTTTGCCCATCAGTCATTGCGCGCATAACATACAAACAAAATTGCCGCCTGCTGCAAGAAAAGAAAATCCTTACTATTTTCATGAATCACAGGTTGGCAGGTCTGTATCATGATGCAAAAACCCTAACCCTAACCCTAGTGATGTCCCGATGATCGATTATAATCGAAAATCGATCGATTATAGTCTCAAATTCGATAATCGATTATGAAAACAAATAATCGATTATCAAAAATACCAAAAAATAAAAAATAAAAAATTTTTTTTTTTATTTACTAAATCCGCACATGGACATGTATTGGTAGCGAAGTAGAAGTGCATCAGTGTGTAGTCCAGAGGACACCTTCATGAATCACTGTTAACATAGGTCCTGTCTGATTGCAGAGCGGTACTTGTGTACTTATAGACATGGACAAATTGACAGTGTCTTGTTTTGGTTTGACACTGTCCACAGATGTTATCCGTAGATGAGATTCTACTCTCCGTATTGTTTGTTACATTATGTTGGAGAGGATATTCATTGGCAGGACATTAACTCGGCTACACAGCCTACACTATTAGAACACAAACAACTTACTTACTATAATAAAGAACATGTTCTTGATCATGTTTGTTTAAAACGTTTAATCCATTTCTTTTTAAATTGATTAAATACTGTATAGGAACAGACATTGATATACATACAGCAACCTTCACAGAGTTAATAGGCCTACATGATCAATAAACATGATGATAATATTGAATGCTATGTATAATTGTATATACAAAGTAAGATTAAATAAATCTATACTATTATTAACCGATTATCCGATTATAATCGATTAAGGGAAACCGATAATCGATTATGAAATTCCAGCCGATTCCCATCACTACCTAACCCTAACCCTAACCCTATCCCTAACCCTAACCCTAATCCTAACCTAACCCTAACCTAACCCTAACCTAATCCTAACACTATCCTAAACCAGTGCTGCCACGTTGCGGTAACCTCCCTCCACGCCCGGGATAGCATTACCCGGCGGGCAAGACCACGTAGCGCCACCTGGTGATCAGGTACGAGAAGCTGAGGCTGGCGGGCAAGACCACGTAGCGCCACCTGGTGATCAGGTACGAGAAGCTGATGCTGACGGGGAAGACCATGTAGCGCCACCTGGTGATCAGGTACGAGAAGCTGATGCTGACGGGGAAGGCCACGTAGCACACCATCGTCTATGATGAGGAGCAAGAAGCTGAGGCTTGCAGAGAAGGTTATCAAGTGCAGCATTGTCTATGATCAGTCTGGTGAAAGAACACTGAAAGCCGAGGCTAGTGGGGAAGACCACATAACACTATTTGCTTCCTGGGGAACAGACGAGATTGTAGACAGTTTCATCTATTGGAGGTGCTGCTAAATTAAGCTCCAAAAGCTAGTCGCCTAATAAACTTTCATTGTAGTTTGAAGAATATAATCTGCTGGGTGCATTTATCTATTATTGAGAGAGTATTGTGATATGGTAGCCATGTAGATACCAGTTTCGCAAATTCATCGAAGGTAGCCACCATGATATCATGATATATGCCATATATATATATATATATATATATATATATATATACATACATACATACGTGTGTGCGTGCATGTGTGTGTTATTATATTCAGGCTGTTAAATGTGTCATGCTATGTCACTAACTGACAAGTTGACAACAGCTTTGTAACATAGCTAGCACTATTGTAGTCTGCATTTTCACCAACAGGTGTTAGCAGTGTTCACGTAATATCAGTTGAGCAGTGAGAATTTATTATATGTACGTGTAATGTACATGTACAGACTCATACGATGGATCGGCATGATCACCGTTTATGTCCAGCTGAAGAAGTAATTTGTGATTGTGCTGCCACCTATATGTGTGGAACAGAACCACGAATGTGTGTGCGCGTGTCAACGCAGTGCGTAAATATGGAATGGCCTATGGTGACCCGTCTGAGATCGCACCAGTCTCTCTCTATTGAAACACTTATTAAAATTTTCATTGAACCCATAATCAGTGAGAACCTGAATGCACAATCAGTGGAAAGAATTCTATAGCATAAAATGTTGGGACATGATGAGAGATGGAACAGCGTAAAGAAACGAAGAGTGCAAAAATACCGCAGTGTGATGGCTGGGACCTGAGAAAATTAGGACATTTAAAATCAGACAAAGAAGGATAGCTAAGGAATTAAAGTTGCCATATCAAGCATATTTATGTAAGTCATGCGCCAAATATAAATAACTCCAAGGTGAATGTTTGTCACAGTTTGTGTGCAAAATCATGTACACAGTACCTCTTCCTAGCTGTGTTTGCGATGTATATTAATTTACTATGACTGTGATATAAACACATTAAAAGGCCATGTAGGTTTTGCAGTCATGGCCAACGTAATTATATATCCGATGAATAATGCATTTCCGTCTGTAAAATATAAGATGCCTGCTTTAAATGGACTTAAGCCTTAATCAGTAAGACACTGGTGAAGGGTCCTGCTTGATCTCGTCTATGGTGCAAATTATATGCGTATGTGTGAAGATATATAAACACATGTACACGGGAGAATAAAGTATGGTGAACCGTTAGCGCGTAGTTACCCGGTTACATTACATCAAGAGTCCATAATAGTAAATTATGCACTCTTGATTACATTGTGGTGCGTTGCGACGTAAGTCCACCCTATACTGGTGCTGTGTAGAGTTGTCAGTGAATAGCCTGCTACATCAGTGTATCCCCGACATGGCGTAGCACAGATTGAGATGGATACCAAAATAATGTTTGTGAAACATGTTTGTGAAACATTCTAGTCGCGTTCATCTCCAAAGTTTTCGAGGTGTTTTTGTAATTTAAACGAATCTAGACTATATAACAGGTTTGATAATGTAAAGCGTTTCGTGTTGTGTGTATAAAAAAGGCATTATGTTCTCATAATCGGTTTTGCCACTATTTAATCAGTGCATGAAAGGAATTGAGAGAACATAATCACATATATTAGATTATAAATACGTTCATTATATTTGTTCGAACAACTTCGTTAGTATGCGTGCTTGTTCGCCTTAGTGTTGCTAGTGTAAACCCTCATATTGGCAAGTTTGTGAACGAAGTAAAAGAAAGTTATTCGAACATATACACGTGTTGCCCATGGTTGTAATTCTGTTGCTACTATATCTCTGAATGTTCACGTAGTTCGTTACATAGTTTGTGCGAAGCTAATGTTAAAGGCGATGTCACTGCAGATACAGTGGCGGATTTAGGGAGGGGATGGATTGGGTGGCTAGCCAACTCCCTCTGTTGGACTAACAATATTTTTACACATAGATCAATTAATTATTGCCAAGTATAATAGTCGCGCGGCTGTACAAAACGGCACCTGATGCATGGGTTAAATTATGTAATTGAGTGGCAAAGCAGGTTACAACCCTTTTGCAGCTTTTTTCACAATTCCAAGAAAGAGTTTTGCTGTCGCCCTCTTCCAAGCGGTGGTCACCCCCTACACATTCAATTATAACGGGGACTTAAACAATTCCCCCTCCTGTACATCAATCAATGCCGCGCTGAAAGCGCTAGAATTGTTCTACTAAAAAGAAAATTATTGTAGTCAGTACCTGTATAGAATGAAGGAAAGTGGGAGATGCTACTATTAAAGTTAGTAGATATGAGTGGAAAGACGGGAAAGAGCCAGAAGGATGGAGAAGAGGGAAAGAGCCAGGGGGGTGAATAAAAGGGAAAGAGCCAGGAGGGTGGAGAGGAGGGAAAGAGCCAGGAGGGTGTATAAAAGGGAAAGAGCCAGGAGGGCGAATAAAAGGGAAAGAGACAGGAGGGTAAATAAAAGGGAAAGAGCCAGGAGGGCGAATAAAAGGAAAAGAGACAGGCGGGTAAATATAAGGGAAAGAGCCAGGAGGGTGGAGAGGAGGGAAAGAGCCAGGAGGATGAATAAAAGGGAAAGAGCCAGGAGGGTGAATAAAAGGGAAAGAGACAGGAGGGTAAATAAAAGGGAAAGAGCTAAGAGGGTGAATAAAAGGGAAAGAGACAGGAGGGTAAATAAAAGGGAAAGCGCCAGGAGGGTGGAGAGAAGGGAAAACGCCAGGAGGGAGAATAAAAGGGAAAGAGCCAGGAGGGCGAATAAAAGGGAAAAAGACAGGCGGGTAAATATAAGGGAAAAGGGCCATGAGGGTGGAGAGGAGGGAAAGACCCAGGAGGATGGAGAGGAGGGAAAGAGCTAGGAGGGTGATGAGAACGTGTGCATGGTAAAATCTGATCTACACGCTTCACTTCGCTCGCAGCATCGCGCCACGATTCCCAGCTATGCTAATGTATGGGCAAATGGCGCTGCAACGTCGGTCGCCGTTGACTGCCAAGATAATATTCTTCGGCCGCTCTTATACGTTCAAAGTGGAGCCGGGCAGGCTGACAGCACGTGTCAGGGCCGTAGTGGCCACCACGGCAGCACGGCACTGCCGTGGCACTATTTTGAAAAAAAAAATTCTGCAGGGAACCAAGGAGCAACATATATACCAAGGAGATGAAACCCCGGGGCGAGGGGGGCACTCCCCCCACATTGTGACAGGTATGTGCCATTGCGAAGACAAAAATGGGGGGGGGG